CTTAAGTAGAAACGTTTCCTTATTTGGAGAGGGGAGTAGTGGTCTCAACTTTGGCTGCACAGTGAGCTAGCTCACTTGCGACGGTAGCCGCGGAGCGCGCCGCTGGATCTCGCAAGAAAGACCTTGTAGTTTAGCTGGGAGGAGCGCAGTGCCTTCAGCCTCTAGCTGCAGCGCCTTCAGGACCCGCCCTTCCCAGGCAGCCCGCAGCCAATCACTGAGCCTGGCAGGAGAACCCGGAAGTGGTTGTTTCTGCCGCCTACAGGAGGTCTTCGATCCAGAGTGCCCTGTTGGGTAGTTTGCTTCGCGGTTCAAGGCTCCGCCTGACCAGGCTTGTTTCCTCCCTGTTTGTCTTTCACAGGCCCTACCCCTCAGTAAACTACTTGTACACCCAACGCCAGCTTAGCTTTTGCTTCCTGGAGGATCCCACTGACGCACCTGGGATGTTCTGAAAAATACAAGTGTCCCCAGAGATTTTCATTTCATTGGCCTGGGTGATTCCAATGAGCAGCCGGAGCTAAAAACCACTGTTCTTAACAGACCAGCTGAGAGCAGGAGTTCCTAGTGTTTTAAATTAGAAAAGGACCTGCTTCCTCACAGTTCACTGGGTCCTCAACAAATCATTTCTTCAGGTTAATTTCCAATAAAATGGGCCCACCCTTTCCCACTGTTGTTGTTATGTGCCATCGAGTCGCCCTGACTTATAGTGACCCCTCCTTGGGTTTCCAAGGCAGTATCACTACGGAAGTAGATTGCCCCATCTTCCTTCCAAGGAGTGGCTGGTGGGTTTGAACCGCCAGCCTTCTGGTTAGCAGTCATGTGCCTTAGGCACTGTGCTACCAGAGCTACACAAGCCAATTCCTAACCCTCCAATTCCTTCCTGCGCTGTTGGCATTTGGGAGCAGGTGGGTGGCACCGACTGAATTTCTGTAATTCTACACACTACACGATGCCTTATGTAACTCACATGTGAGGGGTGTTTACCCATAAGCCCAAATCATCATAGAAGCCCAAGTCGAAGTAAAAGGGAGGCAGAATTTAGGGAAGCGTTTGATGCCATTGCCAAGTTTTGGTACGACTCTTACACCTTTCTCTAGTCAGCAAGACCTGTTCTGGATTTGGCACTTTGGGTGCAGGACTTGGCTGTGATTTTTTATGTGCTTATATTCGTGCAGTCTCCGCCAGCAGACTAAACAGTAAGTTCCTTGAGGACAAGGATCCTGTCCAAGCATGTCCACAACCCCATCTCACAGTACAGGCCCTCATAGTCCCTGGCACACAGTAGGCACTCACTGAAGGTTAAAACAAAAGACAAAGTTACCAAGAACTAAAATATTTTCCTCATCCCCAAGAATGTTCAAATACCCTATAAGTCATTTTTTTAAAAAATGTATTTATTATTTTAAGGAGCTCTGGTGGCATAATGCCTAACCCACAGGCTGGTTCAAACCCACCAGCCACTCCTTGGAAGGAAGGTTTGGCAATCTACTTCCATAGTGATACTGCCTCAGAAACCCAAGGAGGGGTTGTTATGAGTCGGATCCGACTCGATGGCAATTTTTTTTTAACTTTTGTTAAACTTTTGTTAAACTTGTTTAACTTATAATTTAGTGATAGTCATCACCACTTTTGTGGTGATGACTATCACTAAATTATAAGTGATTTACAGATAAGAACTTATTTTATTCTTCTAACAACCTTTGTCTACCACCAAGGATCGTAAGAGTTCAGGAAGCAGAGGGCTCAAAGTGTACGAGGATGTCCTGGAAATCTTCGTGGGAAAGAAAGATTGTGGTGGCATAGTGGGTAAGGTATTTGGCTGCTAACTAGAAGGTCGGCAGTTCAAACCTACTAGCTGCTCCGTGGGAGGAAGATGAGGCAATCTACTTTAAAGATTTACAGCCCTGGAAACCCAATAGAAGTCGCTATGAATTGGAACTGACTTAATGACAGTGGGTTTGGTCTGGTTTGGTTAGACAGAAGTAGACAGGAGAGAGTGGGGAGGGAATTCAAGGTACAAAGAATGTCCTTGCAAAGGGGTAAATCAAACAAACAAACAAACAAAACCCACTGCCACTGAGTCGATTCTGACTCACAGAGACCCTCTAGGACAGAGTAGAACTGCCTCATAGTGTTTCCAAGCATGTGCCTCTTTAGGGAAGCAGACTGCCACATCTTCCTCCTGCAGAGTAGCTGGTGGGTTTGAACCACAGACCTTTTGGTTAGCAGCCAAGCACTTAAGCACTGTGCCACAAAGCCCCCTTGCAAAGGGGTAGAGGTAGGAATATTTACTACTATTTGGGGAAACTGCCAGGGGCCAGTTCCCAAGGGAACTCAGGCCAGAGAGCAGAAAGTAGAGTGATAGCACTGAGCCAAGAACAGCCAAATGTCAGGGGCTGGATTTTGTTCCTGTTTGCTTATGCATCATAATCACATTAATGCATGTCAGTCAAAGCCAACTGAAAAAAAAAAAAAAAAATGGCCCATGCCTCCAAGAGTTAAAAATAGCTAAGATTTGTCAATATATC